ATACTTTTCTTTCATAGTATATATACAATAGGAAAAGAGATTCATTTGCATAATCATTCTAAACCTTTTTCTCTATTTTATATTTCAGCACCAGTGATTATGGCAATCACTACTCAACTTCTGCCAATCAGAAATCAGATGAACAGTCGGCCCTTAATCGAATCCTTCAGCAGACTGCGAGGTAAGTTGCTCTGTAGCTACCAAAGCTCACGAAATGGCAGAACTATTTTGAAATCTCCAGTATGAAGGAAGAGTGAAATTTATGGATTTAAATATTTTATGTGAATGCTTTAAGAAGAAAAGGAAAGAAATATTACGATTAGAAGCCTGTTGTTACCAGATTTACTATGTATTTGTCTTTTCAGTAACATAATAGATGTTGGTGCCCTTGAGTGCCACACCTTAGAACAGCATGAATACATAGAGAGAGTGCGAACCTATAACCAGAGGCTTCAGGTCCTCTCTACAAATAAGGTAAGAATGTAAAAATTTTCTCCAGTTAGACTGCACTGCTGTAAAGGCTAGAACGAAACTGTAATAGAAAATTTGAAGTGGCAAAAAAGACAGTCAAACAAACCTCTGCTTTCCTCAGATATAAAATTCTCTTTGTATTCTTATAAAGGAAGATTGAATGAAGTTGTATTCATGATAATCTATTATTTGAAATAATATAATTCCCAAGTGAGAAACTCAGCGGTAATTTAACTTTTTACTCTTATTGAAAGTTTATGTTCCACATAAAGCTCATTCTTACACAACTGATGTTTGAGCACTGAAAGGTAATTAGTTAAGCAACTACCAGTGCTTGTTGTAAAACTTCTGCCCACTCTTGTTTTAGGTCCCTCAAAGACCCAATGTTGAGCGACAACTCCTCTGTGATGTTCCTGCCGCAGAAAGAATATTATCTTCTCAGCCTATATGTTCATCTGATTTAAATATGGTAAGTAACTGTATCATTTTGTAGATTTCTTAGTAATGTATTGTTTTTGGAGTTTCTATTTTATATATATATATTTTTTTCTTTCTTTCTTTCACCTACAGATTTCATAGATTTCCTAACTATAAAGTTTGTGTTGGAATGTAACCAGTGTTTTTCACAAACTGTTTGCTGAGTTCCCTTTGTGATAAGAGTATTTGGGTATACTTTTTGAGCTTTTATTTTCCAAATGTAAAGCAAGAATATGATTAATCAAGATGATGCATGTCTTCATAAATTTGAGTTTTTTATTATTATTATTATCATTGTTATTATTATTATTATTATTATTATTATTATTATTATTATAATTCCTGGAAAGAAAGATCAGGGAAGTAGTCATAATCCTCTTCCTCTCCATCCAGATGATCACATCAACCCAGAAGATTGTAGCAGCCTTGGCCCAAGTCAAGGTGGACCACAAGGAGGACTTGGTGGTCCCCTTCGGCATCCCTTGACACTCTTACTGCCAGCCCTCTTATGCCGATCATGCCGCCACTGCTGTCGCCCTCTTCCGACGTCTTGTTTACATATTCACTCCATCTGGGCCTATAGCTTCTCCATACACTCCTATTGTGACATAAGTTTGATTGTCATTTTGTGATTTCAGGTTTTCTCTTTTTTTTTTCTATTGAGAAGATGGGAGTGTCAAATTGTAATCAGTATATTATTCTTTTGATTTTGGGATTTCTTAGATGTATATTTTCAGCAGCAATATACAGATTACAGTGCATATGTTCCTGCTTGACAAAAAAAAAGGAAAGTTTGAGTGAAAACAACATAATGTATGAGTGTGGTGATATAATGCAGATAAAAGTGTCCGTTCCTGAATGGCTTAGTCATGTTATCCTTGTGTGATGAGGTTATGTGTCTGTTCTTTTGTGCTAAAGTATATTCATAGACTTTGTTAACTATTTATGAAGCTAATTGCAGCACAGAAAGCATATTATGTAGTTATAAACTCATTGTGTCTGAAAAGGATTGAAAATTCAGTCCTCAGTCTAGTGAGAATGTTTATAATAAAATGTATCAATTTTATGGAAGTTCTATGATATAGTCCCAGTCTACATTCTTTCTCCCATTGTTGTGCATCCTTTTTCTTTTCAACTTTATTGCTTATTGAAAGGCATGTTTATTATCTGAGGAAATGCTTAGTCACTTAGCTACTTTACATGCATGAAGGCTCTCTCCATATTAACAACCAAATAATTATGCCAAAAAAAAACAAAAACAGATAAGACATATTGTAACTGTATTCTGCTTAGATTTAGTGTTATATTTTCATAAAGATACATTTAACCACAGACTTCCTGTCTGTGTATATTATGTACGATGCTCTTGCCTTACATGTTGAAAGATTATTTTTATGGAAATCTAAATAAGAGAAGAGGATGTGAGGAGTGGGACAGCATATTCTTTTAAAGGCAAGAGAAAATTATATTTACAGATTACAACACAGCAAACTCCTTAAAAAAAATTATGTAGTTATTTGGGTAAGAATTATACTTTTTACAGGATGTTGGAAGAAATAACATATCTTATGACTATTACCAGCTATTATGGGTGAAAGCGAAGTCTCAAAGATTAAGACATTATATGAAAATAATTTTTTCTTGTTTTGAATGATTATATTATTTCTGTATTCATAATATGGAAAACCTTTACCAAGGATACAAAAATCTGCATTACTGGATAGTGATTGGTAGTTTGTACAAAATAACATATCTTTTGCTAATAAAATTTCTTGCATCCCAAGTGTTAGTGTGAATGAAGATTTTGAAAGTAGAAATAACATAATGGTACTGTTTTCAGCAAAATATTTAAAATGGAAAAAGGAAATAAACTAAGTTATTAATGTAAATCCTAAAGAATGTTTTTCGAATATCAAGAATACCTATAGAGATCTCTCACTTGCTCATATTTATTTTGCATTTACATACAATTAATTACCTGCTTGTTATAGAAGTGCATGAAGTGTTTTAACAGTCTTTATGAAAATTACCAACATTAATCATATCTTCTAGGTAATAGAAATAGATAAAAATTATCCCAGAATCTGATGTAGACCTATGTGCTGGAGGGACATTACAGTGACTAGTTTCATTTCATACAGTATCAGTCCGGAAAGAAGTCTGTTACGTAGCATTTGTACATCTGTATTAAGAATACCTACAAATTTGGTTGTGGGACATTAAGGCAAGTTGGAATGTGATATTCAATTGTAGAATGTATTAACTTGTATGATATTATTGTATATTTACTCTTTAATTGCAACATTTGCATGCTCCAAAAAAGGCTCATGTATTGATAAATAAAAGTACTTTTACATTGTGCTTGTCGTTATCACTTTTTTTTTCTTGATTAGACCATCCAAATGTTTGTTCAGGTTGAAAATAGTACATAGTAAATTTTATTTTATTCACATCTATAAAATATACATCCCTTTTTACCACTGATTTTTTTTTGGGGGGTAAACATCTCTTGGCATTGCATTCATACCAATATGTATTCATTGATTGCACTACCTACAAGTTATAGCATTTGTCATGTCTCCATTCTTCAGTGCACCCCTATCCCTTTATAATTCCCTCTACTTGATGCTATCACACTATAACAGAATAGGAAAAATCTGCCAGAGCATGGAAATACTTGCAACTAGTGTGCAGTTCACCACATCGGTCCTCCAGTTGTATGAGTGTGAGATGCCATTTACAGCATGCCTTTAAATTTAGGGAAAGAGTACAGATTTATTAACATTATAGATATATATCAGACTTCATAATAATTTGGGGATCAGATTTCTTGGCTACATGTAATGATAAAATTTATTTGCCTTCAAGTCTGATAGGTACAGTTATTTTCCAACACTATAAGGAACAAAAGCCTTCATCTTTTTCATTTTACTCCTCAGAGTCAAAATTAAACTACCTTTTATTTATTTATTTATTTCATTTACTGCACTTACCTCAGGGTTAATGATTAAGTTTAATACTGATTTTTTTTTCTATCATATATTCCAAAGATGAATAGTTTTTGTCCCAAGTGTTAATTTATGAATTATTTGTTCATAATTCCATGTCATTGATTTTGTACCAGAAAGTTAGTGTATTTGTATCTAATAATAGTAATGATAAAAATGACGATTGAGAACGATTATGATAACAATAATAATTGTGTGATAAGGATTATAGTAATAGTGATAATGGTAATAAATAATAATAATGTTAAAAAATATTGTAGTGATCGTTAGATTTGTTCTTGTTATTTCAAACGTTATTATTAATTATTATTATTGTTATTTTCTTATGATTAAAGTTATCACTTTGTTATCATCATATTTAATGCTATCACAGTTATTATTATTATTATATATTTTTGCTATTTCTATTTTTATCATTATTAGTAGTGGTAGTTTTATTAGTATTATTATCATCATTATTATAATTATTATTATTATTATTATTATTATTATTATTATTATTATCATTATTATTATTTTTATCATTATTATTATATCTATTATTATTATTATTATTATTATAAAACGGTTACTAGTTAATAGTAATAAATCAATAAAAATAACTATAAGATGAAAAATATGGTATGATAATACAAATAGTAATTAAATGATAGTAGAAAAATAATTATAATAAAAATAGTAACAGTAATGATAATCATTATTATTTTGATGATGATGATGCTATAACAATAATGATTGTGATGGTGATAATAATGATAATAGTAATAATGATGATATTAATGATAATAGTAATGATGATGATAACAAGGATGATACGGATAGCAATAAGATGAAATATTAAAATTGTTAATGATAATATCAGTAGTTGCATCAGACAACAAAGGTAATTATGCGAAGAGCAATAATAGTCAAAGAGGGGAATATCGCAACAGAAAAGTAACCACAACATTTAACTGAAAGGCAAATGGAAGGTGTAAAATACAATCGTTTCTCTTAAATTCTTTAGTCCCGTAATCACCCAAAGAAAACGGGTCATGACGTCAT